TGAAATCAATAGAATATTATGATTTTTTGATGTTTAACATACCAGATCCTAATTCAGTCTCATTAAAGAGAACTTCATGTCTAAAATTTGGAAGTTTACTTTTTTTTTAATCACGAAGATAAATGCCCATTATTTTATGAAAATAATATTCTTGGAGCTGTCTTACATCATGCTGTTGGTTAGTCGTGAGTGGTTGGTATACCTTCAGCAATGAAATCACAGGCAGAGCCTTCAGTAAAATTCTGGCTTTAGTGCAGGTTTGACTGTGGCTCTCACCAGTAGCTTCTTACACAAGTAGCTCTGTTTTTAAGCAAGTGTAATACTTTGAAACTCATAAAGTGAGTTTTCCGCAGTGCAATGTTGCATAGTGGATGTTGGTTTTATGCTTCCCCAGATAGCAAGCAAATCTGAGATAAAACTTTTCTGGCAGCCCTGACCAGATACACTTTACTGAGTCAGTCTGTGCAAAAAAATTCCCTCTCAAGATACAAGCAAGGTCCTTAGCAGAGCCCTGAAGATGTAAATGTGAAGAGTTAGAAACCAGCTCTGAATGTAAGCTGGCTTAACACATAAATAGGACAGGTTACAGCCATAGCATCTGCAGTCATACCACCATGTCACCCTCTAGCTTTGGGCAGTTTTTTTTACTGACCCACTGTGTGGGTGCAGGAAAGGTTTTTTGGGGGAGAAAAAAAGCTGAAAACAGGGGAGCAGGTTCAGGAAGAGGGAGCCTGAACCTCTGAATTTGAGCTTGTCTCTTTGCACATCAATTCCAAAGTTTGGGGTGCCCTAAATAAGACAAAACAGGGTAAGCAACAAAACATAACCCCACAGAGCCACAGTCCATCTGTGCAAGCTTCATTTCTGCCTGGCCAAACAAGAGGCAAAAAATTTCTCCCCCCCGTGTTCTAGCAGGGAAATGGGCTCTTCACAGAATGAGAAGCCAGACTAGCTTTATGATGCAAATTAGCTTATGAATGTGATTTTAGGGAAGATGATAAACAGCAGGGGATGGTCTTGCTCAAGCTTGCCTGGGTTAGTGGGAAGTATGGCTCCTCCAAGCATCTCAGCCAGACCACATCACATCACCATATGCTGGCATGAGCAGGGCCACAGTGTGTCACTGCCAGGCCTGTTGGAGATCACCCCATCAATCTGTGCTTTCCACTCGGCTCTCCTATTGACATCTGCGACTGCTTTCCTTGAATCCTTGGGAGATGCTCTCAAATCTGAGGCTCAGACTCATACGTCTCCTTCCCATCCAGGAATTCCCCCCAAAAACCCACTCCAGGACTGCAGGTCTGCAAGGCAGGATCCGGCCTCGGGTCCTGAGCACCCCCGTGGGCTGAGAGCCTGATAAAAAGGTCCTGATCCAGTCCATTGAGGTCGATGGCGAAGCGCCCGTCCATCCTGGGGAGAACAAAAGGGTTGGGCTTGGCAAATCATTTCCGTTAATGTAGGAGACAATTACTGATGCCTCTTTGCAAATTGCTCTTCTTTGACGTTTTTATAACTCAGTAATTTCCAGTTGTGTTCCCATGTTTGCCTCTTTTGTGTATAGTTTTCCTATTTTTGAGTGCATGGTTCACAACATTTATACAAACACTAACAACAAATTACCTGCTCAACTGGGTTCTGTGAAAAGGGGCCCTGAAACTTATTTACAAATTAAGCGGACTCGGCCACGGAGGGAATAGTCACCGGGAGCGAGTTGCGGGTGCGCTGCAAATCACGCATGGTTCTCTAGCCAGAAAAGCCCTGCATTTGGGGAGGGGTGAGGGCCCAGGGTTAGAACTCAGTGTCTTTCTCCCAAGACCTTCTCTCACCGGAAAATATCCACCTGACTTTTTTTTTTTTTTTCTGTTGATAACTCTCTGGAGAAAATATCCAGCAGAGAAGTAAATCAATACACGAACAACCCCACACCCGACTCATTTGTTTTCCCATTTAAAGAAATAAATCTGCTTTGCATTTGCTTGTTTAATTTTCTCCGACTGTAATAAAATAAAGATTGCATATTTACGTTCCAACAAATCACATCTCAGTTTAAAACACATTTAAGACACGATACAAATTTCTCAACCCTCCACAACTTTCTGAAAGAGGTTTTTTGACACGGAATTGATCACTCCAGATGCAATCTCTTCTCTCCTCACTTAAACCATGTAATCGTTAAGGTGGGAAGTAACTGTGTACTTTGTTTGATTTTGTATTTTTAGTCCTATGAATCTCCACAATATTTCGCCAAAGGGCAGTTTTGATGTATTTCGCCTCGGGTTGATGTTAGATGTCCTGCATCGCAGCTTCTTTGTCTAACTCTGTTCTCCCATTTCGATAGCTTGATTTCGTTACGGTTACAAATAAAACTCAAGATGCGCTTTATATATTAGTTTAGAGAAATGAGCAGAGCACGGACTATTTTTAAAGCTGCGGATCTTTTAAGCAGGTGGCTGTGTACTGGTACATTAAAATTCAGCTGCGCGTCCGTTTAGATGACTTTTATCGCCATCCCAATACCCTGGAAATTATTTATGCCTGGGGTTTTCGCAGCTCGGGATTTCAGCTCTTCCTTAGTCCCTGCATTTTGTGTTTTTCTTTGATTCCCTGGAAGATAAAGAGGAACCTACCAACATTTACAATCGGATTTGGTTGTCTCCTTCCGTCGCTGCATTTCGAGACATCTTTACTGTGGTCCCGAGCATCTTTAATATTCAAAAGGTCCCGTTGGACAGAAAAATAAAGACGTTCTCTCCTTGCTCTGCAACTAGGAATCTTAAATTGGAGTAGATCTCTGCTCTTTTTATTTGTTTGTGGACTTTATAATATCGCTACTTTCTGCGCTAAGAAAGATGTAAGGTTTAGATGGTGTTAAAGCGCTGCTTGTATTGCAGGTGAAGCGTAGAGATCGGGGCCCTCTCTTCCTTCCTTTCCCCTCCTTTTTTGAGACGGGAGACCCCCGGCAGAGCCGCGGGTCGCCTTTTCCCACCTGGGAACGCAGAACGCCGTGGCGGGTCCCGGTGCCCCGAGGCACCAGCAGCACCGGGACGGGGCCGACTCCCGGCCGCCGCCAGACCTTGTGAGGGCAAACACCTCCTCTGCGGGGCTTTGCCCGCCATGAAGCCCATGCAGGTCGTACCCTTTCCTCTGTCTCTGCATCCCATCACCTCCACGAGGTTCCCCCGCTTGTCGGAGGCGGGCAGAGCCGGTGCGGGCAGGGCCAGGCAGCGCTCTGGGCCGGGCGCGTTTCTCCACACGCCCCAAGGGGATATAGGTAAAAATAAAGGGAAAAAAAGAATCCTTTTTGGTGTCGTCGGAAGAAGCAGCTCCGGGGCAGGATGAGGAGAAGGGTCCTGGGGAAGGCGGCGGGGAGCTTGCGTGACCCAGGGGAGGAAGGCGGAGGGCAGCTGTCCTCGGGCACTCGAGTCGAGCAAGCCTCTTTCATCTTTTCTGTCGCTTTGGCTTAATTTACCTCTGCCCTCCAACGCCCTGTGAGTTTAATCACATCAGATCTCCTTCAAGCCAGAGCCAACGACTGGAAAGAACGAAAGAATGAGAAAGAGGATGAAAGAGCAGAAGGGAGAGAGGAAGGAAGGGGAAGGAGAGGAAGGAGGGAAAGGAAGGAAGGAAGGAAAGGAGAAAAATAATATAAGTAGAAATACGAAATTAACAATTCCTTGCTCCTGGGAAAAAAGAATAGGCAGATAGTCACAGGGTTTCTGGTGACATTTGACACACCAGCAGAGATGATGTTACTGTTCCCTGGGGGCACAAGCACGACCCGCGGGTCGGGTGCGGCTCTGCAGGAGTGACTGAGGCTCTTCCGTGGGACTTCGCCAGCTTTTCGTCACATCTGTGGCTCTGTGAAACCATTTGTAGAACTGACATGCAACACAAACATGTCGCCGTGAGAGCCTGCTCGTCCCTGGGCACCTTTGAAATCCAGGGTTGTTTGGGAGATTGTGTTCTTTTGGTTTGAGGGGAGTTTGTTGGTGTGGTTGGGTTTCTTTGGGGATAAAAGGGGTTGCAGCATTGCAATTTTTGGCATGGTCCCTCGAAACGAGCAGAGGAAAGGTTTGCTTTGTTAGTTTGGTACCAACATCGTCGTACGGGTTTGCAACCTTTTATTCGCATTCGCTCTGCTGTTTGGCTGCGAAAGGAGAAGCAGAAGGGTTCACACCGTTTCCTGGAAGACTTGGTTAATGGGCGCGGATCGATTATTTGTCAGGCAGGGCCGTGCCCGGGTCTGCACCTTCCCCCAGTCACGGGAAGAATCAAGGGTTCCCGGCGGCTCTGCTGCATCCCTCGCTCCCGCATCGTCCCCAGCCTCGGCGGCCGCGGCAGCCTGAGGCGAGCTGGGGGTCCTGCCAGCAATCCCACCCGAGCCCTGCATGTGCCCTCTTGTTTGTTTGCCTGTTTATCGCCCTGTCTCTGCCTCTCAGCCTTCTGCCCTCCCGCCGCCGTGCAAGTGCCGCAGTGCCCTTCCCGGTCGCAGCACATGGCAGAGGAGCGGGGAAAGCAACGGGAGCGGGAGCCTTCCAGCCGCTGCCAGCAGCCGGAGGTCGGGTCACCTCTCCCTGCGGCGCCTGGGCTGCCTTGGGCCGGGGCTGGTCCTGAAGCCCTCGCGAGGCCACCCCCGCCCCAGCCGGGGTCACCTGCGGGAATCCCTGGATGAACTCGGCGGTGGGGGACCACCCCCCGCCCCCGCTTTCCCCCAGAGGAACAGAGGGCTTGACAGACTTCTGTCACCTTTGAAGCTTTTTTAATGAGCAAATGTGTTCCCTTCCAACCCCCCTTTCTGCCCCATCTACTCTGTTCAGCCTCAAGCGGGTGGCTCGGAGGGAGGGATGGGGCAGAGGGGCGGCTTCTCTCGCTGTCGGGTTGGGGGGGAAGGGGAGTTGCTGCCCAGCCCTGCTCCCTGCAGTACCCTGGAGCAACAGCGACGCTCCCACTTTGCAAACCTGGCTGACCCAGCGTTCCCGGCTGTTTTCCAAGGATGAACCATGTCGTTCCCTTCCTTCTCTCGGTCACCGAAAAGCAGCCACCCCTCGGTCAGTGCTGTGTGTGCTCACCGAGACCATCCAGAGAGGCGAGTGGCAAAGATTCAGGCCGACCTGTATCCCCGTCCTAGGGGCGACAGATTCCCCACAGCACTTGGGGAAACGCCGCTCGAATGTTTAAATAAGGTAAAAAGTAAACCCCAGCAAACAACACCACCACGCCCCCCCCCACGCGAGTGAAGGTGGTGGGTAAGAGCTAAAGGCAAAGAGAGAGTCAAGTCGGACGGACAACTGTCGCTTCTGTTTGCCTATGGGATTAGTTCACTTTCCAAATAACATTCAGGTGTATTGTCGACAGCGGTGTTAAGTCCTACTTGGTAACTTTATTGAAATTTTCCTACTGGTCGGTACAATTCAGACACTGATTCTTCTTAAAAGAAACAACAATCATCTCCAAAAGAGCGCAATTAAGCCTCTACCAGGATTTACACTTTCATATAACTATCGGGCAACACCTCGGCACCAAGAAGCTCTGTGGCAAGAAGTGCTGCTTTTCTTAAGGACACCTTTCCTTTTTTAGAGGAAGCAGGCTAATAATGTAAAAGTTTGTGAAGTTACACGTAGCTTTAAATAGACATCACCGTTAACAATCACGAACCCTGCGCTAATAGCCCTTAAATACCGCGCTAATAGCCCCCACGTGGAAAGAAATCCCCAAGTGTTATAAATTCAGTTTAACGACCAGAAAACCTCCTGGGCAACAGTGAAAAACGAAAACTCCCTTCTCTGACTTCTCTGTCTTTGATTTATTTTTAACTACAGGCTCATGGGAACGCGGCACTGGAAAATCACGTCCAGATGTACCTAAAAGAGGCGCTTCCTCTGCTAAAACGCCCTCTCCTAAAGTAAAAAAAAAAAAAAAAAAAAAAATCTTTTAAATAGTTTAAATTTTGGTTTTATCATGGATGTAATTGTAAAAAGACGGGGCAAAGCGGCAGCTGCGCTCTGTGGGGAGACGCACAGCTGTGAGGGAGCAGCTCTGAAAATAGAGCGCAAAGGAGCTGGACTCCTCCGGGGCAGCGTTGTGCCCGAGTGGGAGGGAGGCAACTCGGGTTCTAGGGCTGTTCGTTTCTTTTCCGTACGTTGGGAAGATGCCCGTGTTTGCCCGGAGCCGGGCAGGCTGTGCCCAGGCAGTGCCGGTGCCTCCGCGCCCCACCTCCTGCTCCTTCGGTAAAGTACCAAAGATTTGGCTGAAAGAGTGGGTTTGCGGGAGGAGGGAAGAGACCGGCCCTGAGAAATGAAGGGGCTTTTCCCAGGTAAGAAATCTTTTGCCTAACACTAAGTAGGGACGTTTCGTGCCTTGAAATTTTTGAATGAAAAACATCTATTTAAGCTAAGTTTCACAAAGTTTATTAGTCGTGTGATTTGGGATTTTTATTTTTTTTCCATTGAGATCTACATCTGCAATGGAATCGGGAAAGGGAAACAAACATGGCTGTGCTCACTGCTTGCTCTCATTTCTTCGATTTTATCTAATATTCCATGTAATAGCAGTAAATAATGACGAGACCAGTCTTCCTCTCTCAATCACACAACACTGGATTCTTCTGGCACAGTAATTTGGGGCTGGATGTACCTGTATAGATTTATTTTAAGATTTTGTTTCCTGATGAGAGATTAACAAATTGTCTGAGCAGTCGCCTCTATGGAGAGTACAAAGCTGTCTGTCCTCGCCTTAGTATCGGGTATTATAAATCAAATCCAATCCTTTTCACCTCGTATTATTGGAAAAGGTTATTGGGAAGCTGGCTTTTGTTGCAGGAAATCCCATTTAAAAATTGCTTTATAGGCCATTTGCTGCAATCCTCGACATTGATCTTATTACAGCTCCCTCTCACTGCTGTTTATAAATCTTGGTATTTACCAGCCCTTGGCAGTGATGTCTGGTGGCATTGCTTGCTAGGGGCTGTCATTGGGAGGAGGATAAGAAATGGAGGCTAGGTGCCACTTTCTGGGGTAGTTTTGTCTGGAGGAAGCGTTATTATTTACTGAAACAGTCGGTCAGAAGTAAATCTTTTGTAATGACTCATCCAGTATAATCTCTTAAACCTCCGGGCTACCCGTTTTGCAGAGGATGTGGGTTTCTGTGCTGGAGCCTTCTCACGCAACGGCCTAATTCAGCTAGGAGGGGAGAAGCACCCCTCTAGGTGGTGGGTTAATTGTCGGATTTAATAGTCTGGAGAAATATGAAAAGGCAAATTAATAGAATTAATCTCGGTTGAAACTGGCTATTACAGAAATTTTGAAGGGGTTTGCTTCTGGAATATGTCTCTTGGCATGACTGTGTTGTTGGAATTGTGGCTAAATAGCTGATAATTTACAACATCTTCTAGGTAATAGCAACTGTACAGATAAAGGGAGGAACTGGACCATAAAGCTCGACTTTGTCTTGAAATGGAAAGTTGCAAAACACATGTTGGATTGAAGGGAAACAAAATGTAATGATGAAAGTACTTTTTACTTTTTTGCTACCAGGTAAAGCCGTTAATCAAACACAGGCCAAAATTTCCCCTAAAACTCCTAATCTTTTTTTTTTTTTTTTAATGGCAGCTGGATCTACAACCTGGGAAATATGTGGTTTCTGAAATAGACGGTATGAAGATTTTAAGCCCATTTCTGAATCATAGTAACAGTAGGCTTATCCCAATGGCTATGTTCAAAAGATTTCTGTTAAATTCATGTAAGGACAGAACTGGTACTTACAATAATACCTTTTTTCTCCCTAGGGAGTATCTGTACCTGATACCTAAGTCCTCAATGGGGTTTGCCTGTTGCAGTACTAACAAGTTGGCTTGGGGTTAGGTGTATTCAGAAGTATTGAGTCTCAAGTTCTCCAGCCAGAGACCTGAGGGGAAAAAAAAGGATAAACCAACCTGGGCTTTTGGAAAGAGCAACAAAAAGAACACATAACTGCCTCTATCTTCTATTTACAAGATTTCAGAAGAAGGTCAGACCTGGAAATCCATACCATACAGGATACCTCTAGAAGCTCCTTTTCCATAGTGTGTGTTGTCTGACACAGCTGATATATGTTACTGAGCTGCTCAACAATTAAACTGTACTCTTACGGTCTGGAAGACCAATTGTCCTGCTTGAGTTGAAGCACAAGCCTGGAGTGAGGGCTCTTGCGTTCCCTGCTAACTATGAGGTTGTCTAGGGTGAGGATTTTTTTTTAACACTTTTTCATTTTAAAAAGCTAACTAAAGACAGAAAATGAGACAAGACTTGGAGGCAAGATCTCCTGAGTGTGAAGTCTATCACTGTGTTGTAGAGATTTTCTCTCCATTTTCAATTTATCTGTTTTGTTGCATTTTTTTTCTCCCCAAACTTATCTCTTATACTGATTTCTAATGCATGCTAATGACACTCCTGATCAGATTGACTATTCCTGTATTACTATGAGTTTCTCTGGAGGCTGTCTGGTGCAGCCCTCCTGCTCAGAACAGTCAGAATAAGTTGCTGAATAGTTAAATGGATTTTTTCTGTATTTCAATTTGTGTCCATTGTGTGCTTGCACCACTGAGTGCAGCTCAATCTTCTTTACTCCCTTTTCATACGGGAGTGTCACTTACACACATTGATAAGATTCCTGGAGCCTTCTCCAGGCTGAACAGTCCCAGCTCTCTCAGCCTCTCCCCATAGAATCCTCAAGGTTGGAAGAGATCTTTAAGATTATGCAGTCCAACCATGAATCCAGCACTACCACTGCAACCACTAAACCATATCACCCAGCACCAGATCCAGATGCCTCTTACATACTTCCAGGGGACATAGGACAGATACTTCAATCCCTTAATTGTCTTTGTGGCCCTTCACCAGACTCACACCAGTAAGGCCATGTCTCTCACCCTGGGGAGCCCAGAGCTGGACCCAGTGTTCCAGCTGTGTCCTGCTACCGTTGAGCAGAGGGGAAGGGTCACCTTTCTTGACCTTCTGCAAATTCAGTTTTAGGATCCCACTCCTGCATGCTCAGAGAATCTCTAAATTCCTCCTAGGCCATCTGCCCTTGCTTCTTTTTTTATATTTTCAATTCTTTGGGAGCTCCTTGTTCATCCACGCAGGCTCCCTGTAGCTTTTGTTTAATTTTCCACACACTGACGGAGATTGAAAATCAGTCAGTTTTCCTGGGACTCCTTTTTTTTTTGTTTGGTTTTGGGTTTGGTTTTTGTTTTGTTTTGTTTTTGTGGGTTTTTTTGTTGGGTTTTTTTGTTGTTGTTTTTTGTTTTTCTAGTAGTGGTTTTTGTTTGTTTTTGTTTGGGGTTTTTGTTTGTTTGGTTTGGGTTTTTTACTTTTGTTTTGTTGGGGTTGTTTGGTTTTATTTTTTCTCCTGTCCTGGAAAATATCCACAAGATTATGCCAAGTAGGTACCTGAAAGAGCTAAAGTCTGTTGGGTTGTGATCCTGTTGTTTGTTCTTTTCCTTCCCATCAGAACCCTCAACTTCACAATTTCATGGCCACTGCAGCTAAGGCTGCCTTCAACCCTCTCATCCCTAAACAGTCCATCATTTGCAAGGATGATTCAGAAGGGTGTCTCCTCCCATCTGCTCCTTCACCAAGAAGGTGACAAGAAATTATCATTAATGCATCTTGGAAACAGCCAGGATCCCTTATACCCTGTTGTGTTGCCCTTTTGGCAGGAAGTTAAACCTTACTGTGAGCACTTTATAATAATAAATTATTAAATAAAACTATTGTTAGAATAAATTATTAAATAAAACTAAAGAGCCAAAATGTGGTCCTTATTTAAAGTGATATTTTAAGTTTCAACTTGTCTACCTAAGCGTATAATGAACTGCTAAATGGAAATTACCATGTTTTCATGGTGAAAAATAGACCCAGTTCAAAGGAAAGCTGTACCTCCTATAAAACACTGTGTCCTAGGGAGACATGCCTGAGAGCAATCATATTATAGAGGATCTTCTAGTTAGGGATCCAGCTTGGGATACCTGGATTAAGACTGGAGAATTAAAGTCTATGGGTTGACTGTGGCTGGTAGCTGAGCCCCAATCCATCTTCTTGCTCATTACCCCTCAGCAGGGATGGGGGAGTGAACTGGAAGGGTAAAAAGTGAGAAAACTTATGGGTTGAGATAAAGACAGTTTAATTGGTGAAAAGAAAAAATAAACAAAAAAAAACCCCAAATGAACCAAAAAGTGATGTAAATATAATCACTCACTATCAGTAGACCAGTACCCCGCCAGTCATCAAGTAGCAGCTTCTTTGGAAATACCATCCTGCAGTTTTATTGCTGAGTATGATATTACACAGTATGGGATATCTCTTTGTAAGTCAACTGTCCATCTGCATCCTCTCCCAAACCCCTGCTCACCCCTTGTCTGCTTCTTCCAGGGGCAGAATGAGAAGCAGAGGAAACCTTCATGCTGTGAATCTGATGAATGCTATGCATTTTTTATCAACAGCTGAAACACTGGTGTGATACCAGGGCTGTTTTGGGCACAAGTATAAAACACAGCACCATATGGGCTGCTGTGAAAAAATTATCTTTGCCTCAGCCAGACCCAGTGAAAGGCTTTACATTGTTTTTTTTTTGGGGGGGCGGAAGTTGAAAAGCTGACCTGACCATCACAGTTGTTTTAACTTTGGGTTTATTTTTGTTTAGGTTTTTTTTGTAAGGGAAACATTATGATAACATTCCTGAGTGGTTTCTTAATGGCATGACAGGTGAGATTAATAATATCTGATAGAAAGAATAGTATGGCTTGGCTTTACTTCAGTAGCACCTTTTAGCTGATTGGCAACTTGGGAAGTAGGACTCAAGGTGAGCAGAAGTAATCATCCTGCTCCTGTCATAGGATCCCTCCATGTGCATTTGGGTGGGATGGGG